AAGTTAATCTTGTTCGCATTCTGTATAGTTCATGTCTGATACCACGCGCCAGCATCAGGTGTTCATGAGGATTAGGCTAATCATCACATATAGAAAACATCACAAGTAAAATTAATCGGAAAAGTTTTTTTCCGTAGCGTTTCTACAAAATTTTACAGTTAAAATTACACTTATTTTTTACAGTTTAAATGTTTGAAAATTATTAACAGATAAAAACATTTGTTAGAAATTTAGAAAAGTAATCAAATGCATTGTTACATTAATAAAGTAATTGAAATAGTTACACTACTTATTACAGGCGGGACATAAGCTAACATACACTTGCTTCACATCTCATAAAACGTTAAAAAATGTCAATATGTGGGAATAAGAGAAGAGCAGACATATGGATAAATCTGAAGACGCAAGAGAGAACTAATTTCGGTCAGGTGTCCTGACATTTTATCCTAGCCGTCAGATTGTCCTACCAGGGTTTACTGCGCATGCATTGCACACATATATATTGCATCCTTTTTCTCATGCTGAACAACAATATTTAATGTATCTGCATTACTGTAAGGGTAGGTTTAGGGTTGGGGTAGGTGTAGACTTTAATAAAACAATCTAATAGGTAGAAAAAAAATATTTAATGTTTTTTTTTCTTGTAGCTGTATCTCTTCTAGCTACAGCCGCAAATATAATTACTGTAGGCTATTTGCATTACTGTAAGGGTAGGTTTAGGGTTGTGGTAGGTGTAGACGTTAATAAACCATAATTTTACAGGTAGCATTTTTTTTTTGTCGAATTTTACTACCCACTGTTTTAATGGGAGGTAGCAAAATCTGACAGGGTAGCACAAATCGACAGAACACCGTCTCTGTAGACTAGGTGAGCCACTTGTCTATGCAGTTCTTGTAGACTGTGAGGTTTGAATGCCAGGATGTATGGTGAACACCAGGGACGACACACTTGACCACAGCTCCTTCTGAGTTCAGTGTTTTCAGGCCAAAAGCATCTCTTAGATACCACTGGGGAAAGTGGAAAAATGGTTAGGACAATTAAACTGCACCACTAAATACAAACCATTAAAGGAATAGTTCACCCAAAAATGAAAATTTGCTGAAAATTGACACACCCTTGGGCCATCCAAGATGTAGATAAGCGTGTTTCTTCACAAGTACAGCTCCAAACAGCTGATAAAAACATCAATATAATCCACAAGTAATCCACATGACTCTAGTCCAACAATTAACTGACTTTTTTGCATTGGAAACGGTGCTTGATTTGTGCTTGATTCAGAAAAGATGACTTTTTCACTGGAGAAAGCAATATTATAGAGGACTTTATCCAGATGCAAAAATTTGAAGTTAAAAACATCTTAATGATGGATTTGTTTCTTAACAAACTCAGCTTTTTACTTCACAAGATGGGGTCGTGTGGACTCTTATTCTGACGGCACCCATTCACTGCACTGGATCCATTGGTAAGCAAGTGCTAAATTTCTCCATATCTGTTTTGATAGAGACAAACTCATCTAAATCATGGATTGCCTAAGAGTGAGTACATTTCTTGAACTATTCCTTTAACAAACAAAACTAAATAATAATAAAAATAAAAGTAGTTTTACAAAATGCTGTTAGGAATGAATGTATCCACTCACATCCTGCTTTTCCATCTCAACCACTGTTTCATTACTGTCATAAAACCCAAAAATACTGTGGGGGAAAAAGAGATAAACCGTAAAAAGATATGAAATGAGTATGTTTTATTCAGGACCTGAATTTTAGAGATAGCGATCATGCTCTGAAAATCCACCACATAATCCTATAAGACCTTTTGAAGTTCAAATGTCACTCTAAATATTTCTCACATTCATTCCAGTCTGCTGAGCTGCCACACATTAACCCTTTAGCAGCATAAGACTTTGATGATTTCTAACTCTGGCAAACTTTAGATGCTCAATATCATGTGATACAATATTTGTGGAGACCTTGACTCCCATGGTGTAATAACGCCGTCATCTTGTCCACCGATCAGCACCAGCGTCTGTATGTGCAGAAAGCTGTCTCGCCACGCTGCAAGGGAACAGCAGCATACAACATGGCTCAAGGCCACTGAATTGAAAGTGCACAAACAACCCAAGCAAAAGCTGTCATCTGAGCAGCACATAAACACAGGTTACCAAAAGTCATGTCATCTGAAATTACCTGTTGAATTGGCATGCACTATTTCTCCATTCAGTGGGGCGAGATAGATGCTGCTCTTTAAGTATCTCTCTCTTTGGTGTGGATCTACAGAAAAAAAAGACAGAGATAAAGATAAAGAAAGATGCTGTAAATCACATTAAATGCAGAACAGTGATTAAATTGTAGCATGAAAGTGAGACATCTACTTACCATTCCAGTAGTTGCAGATAGATATCCTTTGTCCCCATGTAGTGTAACAAATATGGTACAGTCTTGACTTGATCAATTTAGGGAAAAATTTTTTCAAATAACACGAATCTGTAAAAACATGGACAAAGCACTTATGGATGTGTATGATGCCTTGTTTCTTTAAAGAAAAAAGGTGTTGTGGTGTGTGTAATGTAGGGAGGATTGGACTGATTTACCTCCATACTGGCCAGCTAGTGGTGAAGACAGGAATATCAGAGAGTGAACATTGTGTGTCGGAAGGGTTGCAAGAACTCCTCGACATATCAAACCACCTTTTAAAATGATTTAAAAAACAGTTAAACAGGGACATTCAAAATTTGGAGTCAGTATGATTTTTTTTTCCAAAGTAAATATTTTCTTCAGCAAGGATGTATTAAATAGTTAAAAAATACATCAAAAATTCAGCTTTGTCATCACAGGAATAAATTACAATTTAAAATATATTAAAATTGAAAACATAAAATTTTAAAGGGGTCATATGATGTTGCTAAAAAGAACATTATTTTGTGTATTTGGTGTAATGCAATGTTTATGCGGTTTAAGGTTCAAAAAACATTATTTTCCACATACTGTACATTATTGTTGCTCCTCTATGCCCCGCCTTTCTGAAACGCATCGATTTTTACAAAGCTCATCGGCCTGAAAAGCGAGGTGTGCTGTGATTGGCCAGCTATTCAGTGCATTGTGATTGCCCGAAT